GATATTTACATAAATCGTTGCGCAAAATAAAACAAAATGTTCTAATAGGTCATCATGCAAGTCTGAGTTATCTGACCAGATTGTTCTCAACAATGTACGTGTTAAGACACGATTCAGCCACAAACCTTTCTTTGGTACACGGGTGGTAATTCTTTTAAAATTTGAAAATCCACAGCGAATTTAAAATTCACCCTGCCCGATGTATACAAATCGTTAACAACGTTTTTTAGGGTTCTCTACGTCCGAATGAAAGACGGAACCTTTCTAGGATCACTCGTGTGTCTGTCTGTCCGCTTGTCAAGAGCCGATCAAGTTGAAATTTATTAGTGCATATATGAATTTCTGTGACCCGAACACGGATGCATAACGTAAATAAATTAATTTCGAACACGGGGGTCATTTTTGGGTGGGGACCAATAGAAAATTAAAAAAAAAAAGTTTTGCAAACTGTACCGTGTGACATATCAAATTAAAGGACTTGTTATAAGGGTCTCAAATTTTATGATTTTAAAATAAATCGTTTTAATGTTACTTAAGAAAATAGATTTAAAATTGACTATCGCTTATCTCCGAAACTACCGAACCTAAAATTTTGAAAAAAAATACAGAAAATAGTTCTTTACTTGTAGATTACAAATGAAATTAATAAGAAGTGGATGGTCTGAACATAACGTGGTAAATCCTTCAACAAAACATTTGCAGTTTGAATGTTTGAGAGAACATGTTTCTTTTAAACTACAATGTTAAGTTGGTTTTCGGGTTAGGGTTCCGTACGAACCCTTATAGGATCACTCATGTGTCTGTCTGTCGGTTTTTTAGCTTTAAAATAGTAGTTATGAGAAAATATATCAAGTTGCATGTAACAGCATGACTTAGCGCGATATTAGTAGAACTATTTCAAGCAAATATCATCTTTAGCAAACGTTTACCTTTACATACTTTACACGATCTTGATTTATTTACATAAATAACGTTTTTGGTGTAATTCTTATCCTATTACATCAACTTTTGCATTGTAACTAATTTTACTTTGGCGATTCAATGTTACATTTCTTTACCATTTACGGTCGATTTGTTAGTGGAATGTCAAAGATGATTTTTAATGACAAATCGACTCATCACGTTGATGCTTCTAACTTTAGCACCGTTGCAGTTATTGATTGTGTTCTGCGTTAATGCATAAGTCATTACCCTTGACATGATTTTGTGGACTTCTTACTTAATTCATATGAATACTTGCACACGTACATGAACCCACGTATTAAACACTTACATAAATGGTTGCATTTTCTTCACGCATGCTATAACACATTAAATACCGTTTGCCGCAAATAACTTCGACACTAATTATTATTGTTATTATGGCGAAGTCTTTGTTGTGCTTTCTAATGACTTTATTATTGTAAGTGTTACTTTTTCCTAAGAATTACAGTTTTTTTGTAATTTTTGTTGGACAGAAGAGCAACACCAATAAGTTAAGCTTAATCTACAATTTTCAGAAGTCATAAGAATGCCTAACGGAAATACATAAATAAGTACTTGTACAGGTAATAATATATCCACTAATCCATGCAATATATTAATTTATACCTATAATAGATTTTTAATGATGATATGTTCATTAGTTGTAACAATGTGAATTTCATTTAATAATAATTGTACTATATCTGCAGTCATTAGCAAAATTGTTCTTGACTGTGGCTTAAAGCGTTTATCTAATACAAATCATATTATAAAGACAAAATAATAAATATATAACTAATTGTACGATGTAGGTATATAAGCAAAATTTGATTTTGTGGTGAATTTATGTAAATAATTGTACGATATATATCTGTCAAATTCGATTTTGTGAAGAATTCAACTACTTAATCTCTTTATCTAATAAATTTTAATATTTCTTATTCAAGGAAACTTCTTATTCCTATTATTTTTTAAAATTCAGAAGAATGAGACCATGAGACCACCAATTATGGTTTACCAGTCGAGGCCGCTGGTTAAACCACTTGAAATTCAGTTTGTCACCACTTACAAGAGTTATATTTTATTAATTTGTGAATTAATTTTATCATATACATACATATATACTTTTTGTAAACTTTTTCATAAGAGTTATTTATATATCTGTTACCGTTAGGACAGTGTTAGCAATAAACGCATTAGGTCAATCGTTTTTGCGTCGACTGACGTTGCAAAATTGGTCTCTACGAAGCGCCCTTATGTTCTAACAAACTAATATGCATCCAATGTTTACCCTGAAGGTCTATTCTCGATATTGGTGATGGAATTTTTTAAATCGAATGAGTAGTTTCGGAGATTAGGCCTTACATAAAAGAGTAGGAGAACAGAGGGTAGAAGACAATATGTACAAAAAGAGATAGGAAGAGGCATGAAGGGCTAGTCAGACACGTAGGTACTAAAAGTAGAAACAAGAGGAAAGAGAAGCAAAGAAAGATCTATATTAGATTATTGTTCGCAAAAATCATATGTATTATTAAAGACGTGGTACGTTACAGTCTTAGGGAAATACAAAGTTAGATTTAGGACAGTAAGGAATGGAATTACGTCAGATTAACATACATAGTTACGATTAAAGTACATAATAAGTTCTGTCAGATTATTTATTAAAGATACAAATTTTACCACCTTTTTCATCTCTGTTGGTAGATTTAGTAATAATTGCAAACTGCAATGAAGTTTCAAGTTTTACCAAAAAGACATTGATAAAAGTTTGTAAAGCCTTTTTCTTTTTTCAGGAAGAGTTAACCATCAAAACAGTTAATTTATCTACAGTCCATTTCGGGAACATTTAATAAATAGTTCATTTAAGTTTTCAATCTAATTATTTGAGTAGGTGAGTCGTTCAGGACGATTTAAATTATAAATTCATAATTAATTTCGTCAGTAACTTCATTTGATAATTCCAAAACAAGTTTTTAGTAGATGTAGTAAGGGTTTTGATACAATAAGTCCAGGAGTGTTTGGTGTTTCGTATACATATATAGAAAAGGGTAAAACATCTTAGACAATTGTGTCTGGGCGAAAGTTCGAGTGAGCCTAATCGATGACCCATGGTGATGTAGATACTAGGTAAGATAAAATATTTTGAAAATCGATACCTATACCGATAGCTTTATATAGACAATGGAAGTGTGATATTTAACCATCTGGATCACCGCTGGTTCAACAATATTTTTATCTAAACATTTGGGGTAGATTTATATTAATATAAGATCAGTTTTGATAATTTTGGTTATGAAAAAGTTTTGACTTTCAAATTCGTTATTGAAGATGCTATTGATGGTCTTCGTCACTAGTATTTTATGGATGGCAGTCAGCAAAAATTTCTTTGCGAAAGCAATTTTTAACGAAGAAAATATTGAAATTTCGAAAAATGAAAATCTGGAGAATCCGATTGAATGAGACTTCCTGTATGAAAAAACACAAATCCAAACATAAAATGACTTGTTCATGCTTAAAAATTTATTATATGTTATTGTTTAAATTTGAATTCAATGCTTTTTTCCTAATAAATGATTTTCATGATGTTGTATAGATAAATGACTCTCACTGTTACAAATAAAATTGAATTTGACTATTGAAAACTTTATTCTGGTTCAAAGTGTTTGAATAGGTATATGTGTATGGATTTTCATATAAATATTTCGAGAAATTTAATATTAAAATTAGTTGAACTTTATTATTCGCACACATAGTTTTTGTGCTTTTTACACTATGTTTTATCAATTCCAAAAAAGTTTTGTTAAAAAATGTTGATGGAACTGCGGTCATACAGGTGGTCAAAAGCTACACTTTCGTCATAACTTTTCCAACTTTACAAAAAATTGTACTTTATATATTTTAACACATCTACTAACATATATCATCATGGGCCACTGATTAAGCACACTTTCAACCTTTGCTCAGCTACAATTCTATATAGCGTCTTCCTTTTTGAAACTTTTCGTCAATTCTGGATTCATTGTTTTAATATTTATTTGTATTTGTCAATTCATATTTAGGTATATAATATCAATTCGATTTAATTACAATTTGTAATCTATTAGTAAAAGTTAAATTACCCTACTTTTCTTAAGGATGTTTTGGAGGTACCTATGTCAAAACGCTACGAGACAAATAAAAATTTGGAAGAATGTNTCTGTTGGGATAAACAATTAACAATATTTTACTAACAAATTGACCAATTTACGCCCACAGAAACTATCTTTGATTCCAAATTTAAAAACCTTTTCATTTTCATGCGATAAAATCACTAAAAAAGTCATTTTTGCCATAAACAATCAATATACAACAAATGGCAATTTTTGACGATTTTTTGGGATTTGCGCAATAACCAATTGACAAAATTGATCGTATTGGGGCTCAAATTGAAGGTTTTTCATTTCTCCACAATTTTTATTTGAAACTTTTCTTTTTAAAAGGCATACCCTTCCTTCTAGATCTAAAAACCTGTTTTTTGTCAGCTTTGGACCTCCCCAATTTGTTAACGCACACTTTTTCGAAGTTTAAAAATATACAGGGATACTTAACTTTTCCCCGCCTACAACTAGGAACAACTCCCGTCCGGTAACAAATTTATGTTGGGATAATTCTCTTTCGACTGGACTATTATTAAATTCTCAGTAATTACACACCAAATAGGGCTTCACACGAGAGCGAGATTTTTCTCCTTTGGTCTCGTTGCCGTCTCGGAAAACGAGACAATACCATGAGAAGGTGATGTAATTTTGGAGCATGACGGAACCGCGTACAATACCATCTGTACTATTTTTAACACGAAGAGGATCATATCTAATATGAAATTCCTTGTCTCCGATTGTACCTCCCAAACATCCTTAAGATTCTTTCAATTCATTTTACTCATTATACATCTGTGCATCAATTTCATTAATATGTACTATTTAGTTCACCGTTCTAAGAAAATATTTAGATTGTAACAAGAGTCATTCACCGGCAAAAAAGAGTGCTAATTATCTTACCAAAGCCCGTGCATTATAATTTCTACTTTTGTTTTCCTTTCTCGGATCAGCCAGCGAACACCACACGTGAAAACTCAAGATTCATTCACTTCATAACCGAGCACGAGAGAGCGGAGTTTCACGGCAATCCTTCGACACTTTTCCTGCTTCACGCGACTTTACCGCCGAGCCACAAGAAAACAACTGCTAGACGAGCGAGAAACAACCGAACTGTGTGCAAGTGTTGCTCGATACGACTCGAAGAAAGTGAATTTAATTGGAAGGAACGCAACAATGAGAAAATGTGCGAATCGCGGAGCTGATGATCAATGGTGTTGTTGTTAGCTTCTTCGCTAATCGTAAGTGTTAAGCAGTCCGAGTGCTACTTGCGTTAGTAATGTAACATCTTTCCCCCAGCAGACTTCAAGGAGGGATCGTTGGAGAAGGGAACAAGGTGGAAAGCACGTGATGTCTTCAGGTCACTTTATCATATGACCGGAGAAACTGAAGACGTCATCGTCGTAATAACATTTTGTCATCATCACATGATTTTCTGAAACGGGATTTACTAGCACACGAACCTTTACCGTTTCCTTGGATGACGAAATGCTGCTTTTGCTAAATAATTAAGAAGGCTCAGTACGTGAACGCTAAAAAAAAAACCTCGTGAAACAATAGCTGGAACGCAAAGTGGCCGGTTACAAAATTTTAATACATATTTATTAGCTTTTTTCTCAAAATTCTGTAAGACGATCGTCAAATACGCGGATGTAACAAGTTTTTGAGAAAGAAAAATTACTACTAAACTTTTTTATGACAAAAAAGATGTGCTCGTAAACATCCTTGTTCGGTAAAATAGTGAATGATCAAAAATACCCAATTCCGTTGTAAATTCTAAAAACTTGTACTTACTTTAACAGAAAATTAAGTATTACATATTTTGAATTGCAAACGTCTTTTTTTTCTATTTTCTACCATTTTCTGATGATACAAACAAGAAATACATTTTAGAAAACATAATAATCATCAGATAAATAATTAATTAGCCTCTAACTTTTATATTCAAGCTTCTGACAATGTTAATTTGGACAAGATGTTAAGTATACTTAAAAATGTAGGCATGAGTTATGGAGATAGAAGAGTGATACATAGTTTGTACAAAGAGCAACAAGCAGTTATAGAGCTGGAGCAGAAAACGTAGAGGAGTAAATGTTAGGAAGGGAGTCACACAGGGATGCACACTGTCGCCGCTACTTTTTAATCTATACATCGAAGACGCGATCAACATTATTAAAGACAGTACAACTGTAGGGGTCGATATACAGGGGCAAAAGAATGGTATGCTTAGATTTGCAGATGATGCAGCAGTGACTGAGTTTCGGTATCTAGCAAGTCAGATAAATTAGGATGGAAGGAGTAGTAGGGATATAAAGCAGAGGACGACGCGAACGATTAATTTAGAAAATTGAAAAAGATTGTTAAAGGTGTTTGTTTGGAGTGCGGCGGAAAAGAAAAGGTTAGAAACGTTCGAAATGTGGCGTTACAGGCGAATGATGAGGATACCGTGGATAGAGAAGGTTAGAAATGAAGAGGTATTAGAAAGAATAGAAGAATAGAGGACTCTATGGAAGTCAATAAGAAATAGGCGAGATAGGTTGGTAGGACATCTTCTGGGGCATGAAAGACTAGTCAGAGACATATTAGAGGCAGAAACAGGAGTTAAGAGGAGTAGAGGCAAATCTAGGTTAGATTATTGTTCGCAAATAGTTAAGGATGGTGGATGCACTTCCACTCCCGGCTGAAGAGGGCCTTCATTGGTCCTAGAACGGCCTGAGGTAGAGGGGTTTTAGTCGGTAGGTCCGAGGACTTCTTCCTCGGGAATCCGACACTATCCAGTCGTACAGACCGCTGGGTGTCTTTTGAAGATTTCCCCTCTTCCACGAAAACATAAAAAAAAATTCCACTCTTTTTTTCACATTCTCCAAAAACCAGAACATCGAACATCCCTAACCATTTGTGATAATAGTGAAGTGAAGTACCTTATGATGACATTTAATATTGACACTGTCAAATTAAATATTAAATATGTTGCTTATTTAATATACATAGATTATAGAATCTGACAAAAGTTAATTTTGTTGTACAAAGACTATTTTATTTTAAATATAACCAGTTAATGTGAAAATTGACAATACCATGAGAAGGTGATGTAATTTTGGAGCATGACGGAACCGCGTACAATACCATCTGTACTATTTTTAACACGAAGAGGATCATATCTAATATGAAATTCACTATTTTATTGTTTATTTTTGCTCATTTATACTTGAAGATCTTTGGAGAAAGTTTGAAAGGTATATACATATAATACGTACAATAAATTGATAAACATAATTTGAAAGTCGATTCCGTCCGACGAGCTTTAGCGGGGATAGCGTTGCCCGCTGCGGGGAAATCCCTCAGTTTTTATTATTCAGTACAAAATGTTTAACTTTAGTGCATTTTTGTACGTCATTCTGGTATAATTGAATAAAAACTTTCGGAAAAGCTGTTACGTACACGTAGTATGTCAGTTACGGTGCAACTTAACCGTTTGTAGAGTCAGTCATCATCATTAAAAGGTCGTCAGTCCTAAGACTGGTTGGGCACACATCTCCACTCTTTCTTATCCTGAGGTAATAATTTTCAAATTTTAAAAGAATTGCCAACTAAACAATCAAACTGATGTAAATAGTTCACCTTTATTAAATTTAAATTTGCCTTCAAAAATTTAAATTCTTACCTTATCCCTCCCTTTGGTTAATCTCGCCATATAAAATTTGTAAACTCTTAGTATTTAAGCTAAATTTGTAGCAATTTTAATCAGAATATCTTCACCTGAAGAAGCCAATGTTTTGGTGAAACAATTGGTGTAAACTATTAATACGTATTTTTTTGAAACTTTACTTTCGTTTCTTAATCAACCCTTTTAATTATATCATAACCACCAGTTTTAGTTCATCATCATAAGGTCGTCAGTCCTAAGACACACACCTCCACTCTTTCCTACCCTGAGCTAATCATCACATTTCCCTAAAACTAGAACAACTCATATTCCTAACTACTTGCTAACAGAAATCTAACTTAGGTCTACCTCTACCCCTCCTAATTCCGTTTCTGCCTCTAATATGTCTCAGACTGCCTGAGAAGCTATCCTACCAACCTATCTCGCCTATTTCTTATTGACTTCCATAGAGTCCTCGGTTCTCCTACTCTTTCTAATACCTCTTCATTTCTAACCTTCTCTATCCACGGTGTGCTAATCATTCGCCGGTAACACCACACATTTTCAGTTACTTCAAACTTTTGCTCTACTTCTAAACACCTATTATCTAGTCATTTCCGAATAACTTCCCACTTTATCGTCCTTCTTTATTTGTCCTATCCTTACATTTCTTTCTTTCCTCTATTAAACCTATAATCTCGTTTGATACCCAAGGCTTTTCAATCTCATTTTGTTTAAAACCCAATATATTCTCAGCAACGAAATCTACCTATATATGTATGTTTTAATACAGTCCCATTGTATATCTAAATCCCTGTTATAAGTTTTTCCGTCTCTTCTAGTATCTCACTGGTCTTACTACCTAACCGTTCAGGCGTATTATCGTTATAATTTAGTTTTTTTAAACTGAAACGTTTCCTACATTCCTTATTTGTTTTTCTAACCACTAAGTTTTGAAGATCCTCACATTATTTTTCTTCAGGCTTTGCCTAACAAAAATGCCTAATCCAAATGTTATATCCCTACGTCACCTGACATCTTCCACGTCATTTATATCTCTATTAAAAATATGGAAACATATATCATCATGGAAGTGTGAAAATTATTATTTATGTTAGGAATGCCGTATCTCTTCTAATGACACTATGTGACCTTTTCTAACCTATAAGAGAAGAACTATACAATAATATAATACCTACATAATACTGTCTACAACCTCTTTTGCTATGTAATAAGAACGATCAGTTGCGAATGCCAAGTGCATTAATGAGTCGATGCACTCATAACGTATAATAATTTAATAATATTAATGTACAAGATGACCATGTAATTTGTACATTTTTTTTGTATCGCATATATTTCTAAATCTGCATTATTGACAACAGTCAACAATGTTTAAGATTATAAATATAAATTGTAAAGTTATATCTCTACGCAATGGATTTGGTTGAAGGGCAAGAGTTTTAAAATCATGCATTAATTATTCTAATTCGATACGATACGCCGTATGATTCTTTATGATATTGTAATAAGTCATTTTTGCCTTTGTAGTTTTTTAATCCGATCTTTATTTACCGAGTAATAAGCAACAGAAGATTGATATAATTAGCCAATTGAAGCTCGTCTCTTTTGCTACAAGCAATTAGTGCAAAAGCGGCGCCTACTTTTGTATTTTGCAGTATTCTTTCTCCGATTCCTTAATTTTTCATTATAGTCTAGTCGGTAGAGAATTTTCCCGACATAAATTTGTTACCGGACGGGAGTTGTTCCTAGTATCAATTATAATTGAAAACCAATTATACCACTGTTCATAATTTTTTGTGTTATCCCAGATTAAAAAAAGAAATACAGCTCAATCCGATGAAAATTTTCAGATATACGACTATTTTTTCCGCGTTTTCCGATTGACGCGGCGCGCCAGCCTGCAATGTTTTATTCACATCGCTAACTATGTTGCGTCGTCCGGAAATACTGATCACATTAGATAGGTCTTTTAGCAATAACAAAAGAAATACTACTTTTCTAGAAACAATACAACAAAAAGGTTTCTCTATCAAATGCCCCCAAATTCATTTCTTAATAGTTAAAAACAATTAATCTGTAATGTTTAAAAGAAAAAATGTTAACTCGGTTCCTGTTGGTCGTAGGAGATTTAATGTTTGTTTCGAAGTCACCCTTTCATATTTCTCGGTTAAAAATTCGTACGTTACGCAGGGGTCGCTCCAGCTCTAATTGTTTATAAAGAGAAAAATGAGCCCCTTATTTACAGCAATAAATAATAAAATGTTTGCTCAAAAAAAAGTTACGGCAATAATTATTCATGTCTGTTGGGATAAACAATTAACAATATTTTACTAACAAATTGACCAATTTACGCCCACAGAAACTATCTTTGATTCCAAATTTAAAAACCTTTTCATTTTCATGCGATAAAATCACTAAAAAAGTCATTTTTGCCATAAACAATCAATATACAACAAATGGCAATTTTTGACGATTTTTTGGGATTTGCGCAATAACCAATTGACAAAATTGATCGTATTGGGGCTCAAATTGAAGGTTTTTCATTTCTCCACAATTTTTATTTGAAACTTTTCTTTTTAAAAGGCATACCCTTCCTTCTAGATCTAAAAACCTGTTTTTTGTCAGCTTTGGACCTCCCCAATTTGTTAACGCACACTTTTTCGAAGTTTAAAAATATACAGGGATACTTAACTTTTCCCCGCCTACAACTAGGAACAACTCCCGTCCGGTAACAAATTTATGTTGGGATAATTCTCTTTCGACTGGACTATTATTAAATTCTCAGTAATTACACACCAAATAGGGCTTCACACGAGAGCGAGATTTTTCTCCTTTGGTCTCGTTGCCGTCTCGGAAAACGAGACTCTCGGGAGTTTCGTTTTTGTTCTCGTTAAATTTTTTTTTGTGAAGTTTTTATTCGAAAAATTAAAAAAGGTCTACATTTATGTACATGTAAAAATATTTTTGTATAAGAGCGTAATAAATATATATGTAGTTGTAATAAATTATTTATTATTTATTATTTGGTTTATATAATATTTATTATCGTTACTTAGAATTAAGCAAATTAATTTTTTGGGAGTTGACGAGACCGAGACGAGATTTTTGATACTCTCGCCTACTGTCGTGTCGTGCGAAGCCCTAACACCAAATCGAAAAACCGAAAAGGAAAATGTTTTTTAGAATTTCGCAAAGAATCTCATGATAACCTTGTACTACATTTTCAAGACACCGTCTGAAACGTATTACAAAATTGCAAAATTTATATATTAATGACTTTTTACCACTGCTACAAAGATATTACGAACTGAGGGTCACAAATATATAGAACACTACGCTATTCAAAATTTTGTCAATATTTTATAAAATAAAACTGCTAGAAAGTAGTCGGCGAAGACAGAACGTAATGTCGTATCAGTATTCAGTTTCTTTAATCGTAAACAATGTCAATGCGAGAATTGTGTCTAGCGGTAAAAGTATAAAAATTCAAATGTCATTTGGATCTTCAGAAGAATACGTCGACGTCCCATTTTAAATTAAAATTAAAATAAAGTTTATGTAATATTTGCTGCTGAACTACTGCTATTGTGCTAACGAAATTGGAGCAGCTTGCCTTGAATTGTTGTGCTGCACCCACACAAGACTGAAATTCTCCAATCTGAACAAGTTTTACCAGCAATTTAACAAGTTCAGAAAGATCCAATTTATAATAAATCCATACATTACCGCCAATAAAATTGCTAAGCAGGATAAATAACGAGAACAATCTAAAAAGACCAAGTATGCAAACTTTTTAAACAATAATAGACAGCTGTCGCACAACTTGTGGGTGTGTTACACAATACATACGTCTATGAATAAAACAATAAATAATCGTGAAGGACGAAAGATCGTCCTCAAGAGGTAACCACTTTAAAAACGTAATTTTGTCGTTTATAAACATCTTCAATAGGACTACTACTTCAATAACATTTCGACGAATGCAGAACGAGTAACTCTGAGGACGCTTTCAGTCTGTGACCAACCAGACGAAACGTTGGTAATTTACCGTTGGTAATTTACCATTGAACTATGTTACAAATTAAAATATTTAAAGTGTGAAGTTAACATTTTAAAGTCAGCATACCGCCTTAGAGGAAGGTCGAAACCTCTAAAAGTTAATTAAACGAAATGGCAGGCATTAAATAATAATGGACGAATATCCAATGTTCTTCAGGTACGAGACAGTCTATTTAGGGGATGGAATAGATTTACGTAATTTTGTCGTTTATAAACATCTTCAATAGGACTACTACTTCAATAACATGAGCACGAATGAAGAACGAGTAAGTCTGAGGACGCTTTCAGTCTGTGACCAACCGGACGAAACGTTGGTGATTTACCATTGAACTATGTGACAAATTAAAATATTTAAAGTGTGAAGTTAACATTTTAAAGTCAGCATATCGCCTTAGAGGAAGGTTGAAACCTCTAAAAGTTATTTAAATGAAATGGCAGGTATTTAATAATAATGGACGGTTATCCAATGTTCTTCAGGTTCGAGACGATCTATTTAGCGGATGTAATAGAGATAGAGGTTTTATATCGTAGATATATCAAGTGAGTATTGGAATTAGAAAGAAGACTACATGTGGGAAGAAGCGATGAAGAGGGTAATAAAATATGAGGAGAAATTGGGAAGGCCGGAAGAAGGGAATATAAGGAAAATAGCGACGGAAAGTAGACATGCATGACAGAAGATTGAAGATACAGTAAAAGTTTCTTGTTCACGGTTTTCTTATTCGCGTTTTCATTATTCCCAGTTCCCGTATTCGCGGCTAAAAATTTCATTATTCCCGGATGCAATCGGTAAACAGAAAAGGATTCGGTGTCATTTATTAAGGGGATTGACCGCAATAGACCGCTCATGCCTAGTGTAAATTTTTACGAAAACATGGGTTTCTATTATAAACATTGTGATTTAACGCTACGAGATAAATATCTGATTTTTTGTAAGCTAATAGACAAAGGTTCACACTAACTCGATACGTTTTTGTTTTTTAATAATATGGTCATTAAAAGCTTTTACAAGTGCTTAAAGTTGATGCTTCTTGTGGGGCACGTATTTTCAATAGAAATTAAAAAATTAAAAAATGGCCTTCGACAGGCTTTAGAATAAAGCTTTATCTATCTTACTACAAAATTTCAAACCTCTGTTCCAAACATTAAACTTATGATATCTAGAACCGATAATCATGTTTTTACTCTACGGCGCATTACTGAATCCCCTTAATGTATCGGCTATGTACCTACTGTTGGTACGTGCCCAGGGAGCTTTTATAAAAGATGTAACCGAGTAAGCAGAAAAGGATTCGGTGTTATTTTTCAACGTATCGGCATCTTTTAAGTACTGTTGGCTCGTGCCAAGGTGACTTTTCTAAAAGGTCAAATTCGAAAACAAGAAAAAATCACTAAATTTTTTAAACCCTTGTCTAAAGCTGATTATAACGATTAATTTTAATTGCGAATTTCTCAATAAATTGATTTTATTCTGATACATATAGGTTTTATTTTGGAACCTTAGAACGTATCCCCTATGATTCCATACTAACTATCATTCCATATTCACGGTTTCTGTATTCGCGGCATATTTATGGAACGTATACCCCGCGAATAAAGAGCTTTTACTGTACTCAAAATCAGTAGGAGCAGGTGAAAGAGCGGTTGAAGGAAGGGGTCAATATAGGAGAATTGATAAGAAAAAGATATATGAAAATGCTAAGCGAATAGGATCTAAGAAAAGTAAAAGAGTCAAGCTATGTGGTGGAGCTGAAGCAAATTTTATGAAGAGATTGGCAAGAGAATTGAATGCCAACGTATTTAGAAATAAACGTACTAGCAAAATTTAGGGCAGCAAATTAGTGTAAAATATGTGACAGGGAGGGAGAATGTTTGAAACATATAACAATTATCCAATGTTCTTGGGGTCCAAGATAATCTATTTATCATCTAGATATACCCTGTGATCAAAGGCGAAATAGTGAAATTAGTCGTTTTCAAAACAAAAGTATAATTGAATATGTAAAAAGAGACGAAAGAATAAAAACTATTCTAGAAAAGTTTAAAAATAGTGAAGGATCATCATAATCATCATAAGGTTGTCAGTCCTAAGACTGGTTGGACACGTACCTCCACTCTTTCCTATCCTGAATAATAAAAACTTGGAAAAATGCTTGAGAACATTGACATACACCCAGAAGTTAGAATAGTGTAACTTTATTTAATAGAATGAGTGTTACACAAATGTAACTTCCGCATTCTTATAAATTAGGCTTCTTAATATTATACATATTATGAAGGTTTTTAATTTTTATAATTCGAAACACGCTCGTTTTGTCTGCACAAAACTGCCAGTTCTAAGCCTGAATAAAGTGTAAAGGAAAGCGCTAAAATTTAAGCTGAAAGTATTATTCAATTGAATACATAAACTAAACATACAATATTAAACAAATCCATTGTACATAGGCTTACATATTTATTAAAGTCGCGGCGCTACGGGCTCAAATTTTACCTGGTATTATCGCGGCGCTACGCGGGGCACGCAAAATGATCGCGCCGCTCCAGCATTCATTTTTTCCATCACTTATTCTTTAAGTGAATGTCTTTCTTTTGTTTTTGGGTAATAAAGGCAACCAATTTAGCATTTATCAGTGATAATTAACGTACAAACACCAGCAAGGCTAATTAGCAGACGCAGATAATTTGCATAGTCAGCTTCTTCGGCTTCCTATATTTACTACTTTCATTTAGCATTTTCCATTAGAAGAAAAGGGTTATGTAGCCACAATCTACATACTTTACACCTGGAGAAATTGTCCATTCTTGTAATAATTACGTATCGATTTATCAGAAAATTTTATTAATGTCTCCAGGAAAACATTCTTGTTGCAAATCAGATTGGAAATAACTGCATTTGAATAGGTAATAATCTTTTCAAAAAGTATTTAATTTTAATTAAACAACTTGCTTTTCTTACGCAAATACCATTGCAATTTCATAGTCGATCGATACATAAACTGAATATTAATTTAAAAATTCATCTTTCATTTTTATCCATTGATGACCATACGATGATGGTAATGATAAATTACCTCAAGGAAAAATTGTTACTATTGTAACACCCTCGCCGGGCATCGAACCCGGGACCTTTGGCTCAACGCACCAACCCGAGATAAAAATGTTCAGTCTCTCCTAAAAGCGAGACTCGAGTCCGTCTCTCTGGTGTCGCTGAGAGAGACTGTCAAAAAAACTGTTTAGCGTCTCTTAACGAGAGACTCGAGTCGCTCGTAGAGAGATCCTCATTTCGTATTCAGTCTCTGAACGAGAGACTCGAATCTCTAAACGAGAGACTCGAATCTCTGAATTAACAATATAAGTGGTGTCTCGATAGACATGATTAAAATTTTCTAAGTTCAACATATTTCAGAGATCCCAGTCTTTCTGCGAGAGACTCGAGTCTCTCAATCTTTCAGTTTTATTCATTCAGTCTCTCTGTGAGTCTCTCATACAGAGACTGTGAAAGATCCATAAAAACACCTAGGCAATAACTGAGAGACTGTGAAAGATTGTGAGAGACGCTCTCAGAGACGCTGAAAGACTCTGAAAGACTCTGAGAAACTGGAGAGAGACTAAAAATTTTTGTCTAGGGAACGACGAAACGTACTTTGAAATTAGCTAGTAGTTAATATTAAATATTAAGCCTATAAATAACTTTTTTAAAATTATTGGTACATTTGTACTTTAAGCCAAAGGTCCCCACTTTAATTCCCGATAATTGTTAAGTGAAGTAACAGTTATTTTACTTATAAATGTATTTGTAGATGCTTCCAGTACAAGAAACTCTCAAAAACAACAGTGTTCTAAAGTTAATGTTATTTTGTTCATGGCAACTACGATGTTGGAAAAAAAGGAAAACACATTTAGTATTGCAAATTGGTTGGAACGTTCAGGCTTTATTTTAGCAGCAAAAGTAAAAGTAGTAAGTATCTAATAATTATTCACAAATTGAAAAGTTTTGAAGTTAGTTTAAATAATAAATAAATAAATAATCAATGCTGTAGGACCAACAACATTTTTTTCTTTTATTGTATAATATTAAAATAATTTATATCTTTATTTCTGCATATCAGGTGTTCTAATATCATTAATTGCGTCACTATGACTCTTTTAGTGGAAATAAATAAATAAATAATATGAGACAAATTGCTTAAAGGTTGTAATCAATTTACAACTGTTTAAAGTTCTAACAAAAGCTTAAAAGATCAGTGAATATTATAAATTATTGTTTTTTAGTTCTGTTAATAGTTAATCTGTTCAAAAGTTATTATAGATTGTTGATTTGACACCAACAATAAATAAATTTCTAAAGTAAGATTAATTCTGCTTTGATATACCCGACTAGAATTTATGTGGGGCATGCCACATGCAGCTTGCAGGCCTCATGTGGTTAATGAGGGGTATGTCGATATAGGGATTTCCCCGTAAATTCCTCATTAAAATCTCACTAAAAAAAGTGGTGATACTAAAATGAGGATTGCCTTATAGTCTAGTAATAATTTTTTCCCGCGAAGGCCACACGTGGCATTCCTGATGATGCGCAAATACAGCAAGGCGTTATATGCCCCTTCCTTGCCCTAGGGGTAACCTAATGGGATCCACAACAGGTAGTCTGGCTACCCGCTTAGGGACCCTACCTGCAACCCCCTCAAAATTCCAGTCGGGTAATAGAATTGAGGGGAAGGGTAGTTGTCGTTTTTACCTTCTTTGATTACATCCAAACAGTACTTATTGTAGGTGGTGTTATTTTGTGGTTCCTTAATTTGTAATTTATTATTATATCTTCAAGGAGATGAATTCAGAAAATGCAAATGCAGCATGTCAGTCAAGACTGCAGTGTAGCAAGAATTCTTTACTACAATGGGCCAAAACGTTTAAAAATATGACCACAGGTATTTTCATTAATTGCATTTGTTTTCAGTACAACTATCAGCAGTTTCTCATCTTTGTAACAATTGCAGATATTTTCGAAATTATTGCCAAAACCTAATCTATCCTAACCTGACAGCATAACCGAAATACAAGAATAGCATCAAAATCTAAATTTGTTAATTAATGTGAAAATTGAAATTGCAATAGATTTCATCCAATTCTAATCAAAATTTTAGTAAAATTCTGCTTTTTTAGTTACTTTGTCACTAATTAAGGAAGAAGAAGATATATTTTGCAGTCCTGGTAAACACGAAAATAGAAAATTATATGAATATCAGGTAGATTTTCAAAACAAACGGAATTTGGTGGTTAGTCCACTTGTTCGTGGTAAAATAATCGTCAGTTCCAGCGTACAGAACGATAAAACTTATGGAAACAACGATTTCGTCCGATCAAGTAAAACTAAAAACTATCCTAACGAATTTCTAAACAGGATAGAGAAACCCTCACATGTAGTACCACAACACAATTCTGAAGAAAACGAAGATATAAATAAAGTTGAAAGAATGCTCCATCCGAAAAGTGATGAAAAACATGTGAACAAAGGAAGAGGTTATTTCAAATATCCGCATCAAATTGCTTCATATTCAAATAAAGATGAACATAAGCAAATCTCAAGACCAAGCAATAATGTTGAAAAACATGAGAACCATCACAGATTAAACAATAATTTCGATGAAAATGATTTGCCGCATTTGTTCTTAAAACCACTACATTTTCAAACCAGTCCCATGAACTTAGGAAAATACAAATTTCATTCAGTAAATTTAAGACCAATTAACAGCAATCAAAAACATCTTCAGTTGAATCAGAAACCAGATGTTTTCCTCTCAAACCTGGACGACTATAATAAAAAAACATATATTCACAGAACACTTCCACTAGATGATAAAAATCACTATCACTCAACGAAAAACAGTAATGACAACAGCAAATATTATAATAATCCTGATGAACAAATATATTTAAATATAAAACCAAAATCAGGCAATGTGGACGGTCAGCAATTCACTAATGGCGGTGTTATCAAAATGGAAGAGAAACCAAAACAGAATATTGATAACCTGTTGCATTACAAACCATTTGGTTCCCAACACGATTCAAATGGAGTTGGTGCCCAGAAATCCATAAATCTTGTTATTGACGACAATTCTGATAAAGATGGTACATTAGAAAACCAAAATAGGAATTATCAAATACTTGAGAATCCTCGAACGCTCAAAAAGTCAGGAAAACTCCGTTTTGGTTCATCCAAAAACGGAATTAATTCATTAGTTAGCCCACTTCATTTCCATAACCTTTTTAATGTTCTTACATCTTCTGCAACTGAAAAACACGACATTAAAATGAATTATCCACATCAGTCAACAAGTAGTGAAGAAATAACGATTTTAAAGGGATCGAAAACTAATCCATCAAATGGTGCTTCAAATAAAGAAATTATCAGCGATAGCGAACGATTCGATCAAAATTTTCCTTTCACTGGTCTTGCAAATGTTCATAGAACAAAGCGAGGTATCAGTATTGATGATGAAACTGAAGAAGTCTTTACAAATCCAAAATCAATTGAACGAAAACCAGATGAAGAAACAAGTGATGCAGTAACCGATTCATCTACAAGAAACAGTTGGAATTTTCTGGGGATGATGTCTGCTTTCAAGAACTCGTTTTTTAACGACATGTTTTATACCCTTAATGGTAGGTAATAAAATTATATATATAACTGCAGGATCTTTAGAAAATATTTCAGTAGAAGTCTATCAACTTTTTTAGCACCTCCTATTAAATATTTTTGAGCAAATGGATTTTGTAGTTTGGGTGCTAAAAAGGTACTGTTCGTTTCAAGAAGTTAGAGATATGTCCCTTCCCTTTATCAGGATGCGCCGTAGCATAATTCCAAATTCAATCATATTTGTCTGCGGAGCTCATTTCTTCGCTGATCATCGAGCGAGAACTAGACAAAAGTGTACAGTACCATTTGCAAAATTATTTAAACTGCCTCGTTAAAATATAAGAATATGCTTTATTTAAAAGCAAATTTAGCCACAAATAATAACAAGTGAATTAACTTAACTTTCTATACACCTATAAAACTTTTGCTTTGTTTTCTGTTGTTAATTTATATACATTTTTGTTTTAATAAATTGCTAAACATTTTCGTCTAGTACTGTACAGTTCTAGTCGATCTCCTAAGACCGCCCATCGAGAGCTCTGCTCGTTCAAGCTTGTTCCAACTGTTTCTGTCTTGCTCGCGCCTAGTGTGTATCCTTTCTATCTTCGCGCAGATTTCTTCAAGGTCACAATTCTAACAAATTGACATAGACTGTAAGGCTCCTTCTTAACTTATCCTGGTTGTTCAGCGATTTATCTTTAATAAAGAAGTATAATTCAGGTAAAACAAGATCTACAGAGGAAGATGATCTTGACACCAAAGACATCGGTAAAATCATTGAAGAACCATCACTGGCAGCATTGCTGCTTCAAATAATACAGGATGCAGAACTTCAGTCCTACTTAACCGGTCAATCCGGATATCTTATAGTTGTTGATGGATTGAACATCAACGATTTGCATGATTGCAAGTCGGATCTCTCAAGAGGGATAATGGCTGCACGGAAATCAACCAAAAAGTCTCAAACTCTTATTGTCGTGATGGGTTCTTGTCCTACCAAAGACATTGCCAGAAAACAAATCCTAAATGAGCGTAACACGAACAAACATCTAAAGGACATCCAGTCCTTCCATGAAGATGTTTCACATGAACATAACAAGGAGAAGATTTTATTGGATCGTCGCACAAGTACTCAACATGTACCAAGTCTTAAAATGAAGCATCCTCAAACTTATCATGATCATGTGGTCAAACAAGAAGATGAAAAGGATGAAGAGGCTTTTTCACGTTACAATGACAAGAAAAATCTACACAACACTAAAGGAGCTCAGAAGAATAATTTAAACGAGCAAGTGCAGAAAACGCACCACGTTGAATCATTAGATGAACAAGAAAATTTGAACAACAATCCTGCCAAATTACAGCAACATTCCAATGTAATAAGAAACGATGATCAATGTAAAACATCTCATCGTTTTATACCAGTTTACGCATCGGGTAGGTTATTATTTTTTTTCTTACTTTCTATACCATTATTTTCACGTGTTTTTAGGGGAAGGGTAGGGAGTAGTAGATAATATTCCCGTGTGTGCTTTAAATTAGTATTATTTCGGGTTTTCACAAATAATGGGGATTGATTGTAAATTTCTTTCCCGATTATTTTGTTAAGGTACACGAAATTGACAATGAACAGTCACGATTAGGGTTTCCAAATCCCGGAAGCGGAGTTTTGGTCGAATACTAAAATTGGTTACAATTCTTTTAAGGGATTTATCGGTATCACCCGTACGTCGCACAGCGTTAACAGGTTCCTCGTTCGGTGGTGGTGTGATCAAGACGTAACCATAAACGAAACGTTTAAGATTTTGGAATTTGGTAAATTGGAAACCCTGATCATGACTAAAATCTAATCAAAGATTTTACTGGCGAAATACTACTAAATATTTGAAATAGATCATGTCAAAGCAACAGAAAAGGGAGTTTACTAAACCTTTTAAATGTATATTACTGGCTTTGACCGTTTGTAGGGGTCTGTTACCAAACAGGAACTCTTTTAGCTTTAGTTTTCCTTTTGTAAAATTTAAAATCTCGTCGAAATTCTGATGCCTCAGAGTCTTCTGTTGTCGTGTTCTTTCTAATACCTCTTCATTTCTAACCTTCTCTATCTACGGTATTCTTATCATTCGCCTGTAACACCACTTTTCGAACGCTTCTAACGTTTTCTTTTTCTCAGCGTTCACCGTCCAATTTCTAAATTAATCGTTCACGAGCATAAGTGACTTCTTTTTATTGAAGGCGACTCGACCCTGCGACATCCTCTACTGTATATCCCTACTATTCCTTCCGTCTTGACTTATTTGACTTAGACCTAGATACCTAAAATCAGCCACTTCTTCTAATGTTTCATCTCCTATACTTACATTCACTCTTTCCTTACAATTCTTCCCTTGCATACCAGTATTTTTACTTTTATTTATTTTCATACAAGTACTGATGTGTCAGTATCGCTTCCATTTTATTTAAAGCTATCTCTAGGTCCTCCTTGCTAGATGCTAATACTGCTATGTCATCTGCAAATGTACTAATCTTTTTTTCCTCTATACCTATCCCTACAGTTGTACTGTCTTTAATGATGTTGATCGCGTTTTTGATGTCTCGATGACTCCCTCCCTAATATTTACTGCTCTGTGTTGCTGCTATATATTTATTTTTTCTCAAATTTAACTGACTCAGTATTTTCAGTTTACTAATTAATTCAGTTAATGTACATTAATTTACAGTGGTGTTGTGAGGTTGATGATACTAATCTTTTCAATTTCCTAGGTCCTGGACAAAAGCACTTTGGTAATGCCAAGTGTTTGGAGAGCGTTCCCTTTCTAATAAGGGATGTTGTTATGACAAATGGTAGAGCGTCAAGAGACACAGGAAGGGCGCGTTCGATAAATTCTGACGGGCTTGAAAATGGAGCGAAATTTCAATCAGTGAGGTCCTTTTTGAGTAGTGCCACAACCGTTTACCTGCATACTGCTTTTATCATTGTGTCTGTTTTGATTTTGGCCGTTTAATAATAGACGACTACAATTTGAGATTGTGATTTATCATTACGTATAAATTACAAAAAATGTGTGTAGTGTTTTGCATTCAATTAGTTGATTCGGACTGTTCGTGGGTACCTTTTCACTTATTTATTTATGACAACTATCCCGATACCTATATGTTTATTTTAATTTGTTTATTTCTACAATTTGTCTTCGAATAAACCGCTAATAAATTGTTATCAAAATTTGATTTATTTTCACTTAATCAGATAATTTAGAAATTCGGGAACAAGATTCAAGAACAACATAATGTACGAGTGGGAAACATGGACAGGTCTGTGCGGTGGAAAAGAAAAAGTTAGAAGCGTTCGAAATGTGGTTTTTATAGGAGGATGGTGTAAATATATCGTGAATATAAAAAAGGTTATAAATGAGGTGTTAGAGAGAAGAAGGAGGTAAGGGCGTTATGAATGAATAATAAGAAAAAGAAGAGATAGGATAGCAATATCCCTGCTGAGGTATGATGAGCTAATTACAGATATGGATAGGTGCCGAGTTTTGGAAGTTGTAAACTAGATGCAATAAACAATCGCACAGTGAGTTCAGCAGTGTGGTTAAGGGCAAAATTTGTTTCTAAGAAAATCACAATAATTTACAATCGGAAGCCGGTCCTGTGCGTGAATTGGCAACATGGGTGTCTACCGAACAGTGTAGTGCGATAAAAAGTCTGCAGTTACATGGATGAAGAATGTAAACATTGCTGATTAAAATTCAGATAAACATAAATAATAAACTAAATAAAAAGCTAAATAAACTAGTTCTTCCCCCATATAAGTTACTTTGAGATCGAAACTGTCACCACCATTACTTTGAGTGGTCAATACTTTTTGTAACAAGACAAGATTTTTGTACTTCTTGCATTTTCCCATTGGATTCATACATATAGTGACATTCTGATTTGTATGTTAAGACTGGATTTCTTTCAAATAGTAGGTACACTTAATTTGAATGTCAATGACTTCCATTTTTTTTTTGACCAAATTTCTTTTTACTAAATAATAATCTTCAAACTAAATTTATCTGAATATTCTTTATTAATTTATGTATAATGATAATATATTTTCCAAGAGGGGCTTTAGTATTACATTACAAGTACCTAGGTTCTGCATTTTGAGCAGAGAAACCACTTTCGACGACTCAGGGCTCAGATCTTTAAACTTTTTGATAATACTGTACTTACAACTTTTACTGATTTAAATTTTTGAGCATATACGAGGGTGGATTGATAAGTTTCCGGCCTGACCAAGAAAAACAAGGTTTTTAAAAATTTTTTTTTTTTATTTCTCAACATAATCTCCTCCAAGGCTGATACATTTCTCATAGCGGTGTTCCAGTCTATTAATGCCATCTCTATAGACTGATTCGTCAAGCTCCTCAAAATAACCATTTACAGCTTCGATTACTTCTTCATTGTCCGCAAATCTCTTACCGCCAAGCCATTTTTTGAGATTAGGGAACAGAAAATAGTCACTCGGGGCTAGGTCTGGAGAGTAAGGAGGGTGCGGCATCAATTCAAACTTTAGATCGTTGATTTTAGCCGTCGCAACGATTGACGTGTGCGCTGGTGCGTTATCGTGATGAAACAAGATTTTTTTCTTCGCCAGATGAGGTCGTTTAATTTTCACCTCGTGGCTCAAACGTTGCAATAAGTCTGCGTAGTATTGACCAGTGATAGTATTACCCTTTGCAAGGTAATCAATGTATATAATACCTCTTGCATCCCAAAAAACAGTAGCCATAACCTTGTTCGCCGAAAAAATTGTTTTTGCCTTCTTTGGAGTTGGTTCCCCTGGTCCAATCCACTGTTTAGACTGTTCTTTGGTTTCAGGAGTGTAGTGGTGGACCCACGTTTCGTCAACGGTTACGAATCGACGCAAAAATTCGCTTGGATTACGCTTATACAATGACAAATTTGCGGTAGAAATGTTTTTTCGAATCAATTTTTGGTCGACTGTTAGCAAACGCGGCACCCATCTTGCACAGAGCTTTTCCATATGCAAATGTTGGTGCAAAATATGTTGCACACGTTCATATGACATCTTACAGGTCTCAGCTATCTCACGCACTTTCAATCTGCGGTCTCCCAGCACTATTTGATGAATTTTTTCGATCATATCTGGAGTTGTGACCTCAACGGGGCGTCCTGAGCGAGGCCCATCAGAGGTGCTCACACGACCCTTTTTAAACTCGGAAACCCACTGCTTAACGGTTGAATATGACGGGGAGGATGTCCCCAGTGTTGAGTCCATCTCTTTTTTAATTTCCTTCGGCGTTAACCCCTTCAAATAAAAGTATTTGATGACAGCACGATTTTCCTGCTTTTCCATTTTTACGAAAACCACAGAGGCGTCTTGTTCAGCGTGCTGTCAAACCTACACTAGCAAGGAGATCGGGCTGAAACTATAGCTACAAGCTATCCAAGGATGGTACTATAGAATGTCACCTCAAGGTAGGCCTAGTGGCGTCATCTCTTGGTTAGGCCGGAAACTTATCAATCCACCCTCGTATAATAACAAATACTTAATAGTTTTAGACATTTTAAAGGTTTAAATTTAAATGTTTGAATTATAGCTTGCCATAAAAGTTTTATTCGTTTCTCAAAAATTGACGTTAAATATTTTTTTTTCTTTCTATTTTTCTATACTTAATCTAGAAAAAGAAAGCATTCTGTGTACACACGTTAATAAATAAAAGTGAATGTACCGTTAGCATGAAAATGTACTTGTACGCGTCTTTTTAATGTTTTGGTAGGGGTCTAACGATTCTTATTACAACAATGGTTTTGAAGATGTTACGTTATTAAACAGGTGCAGGAACATACATTATCTCTGTATCTGTACGTTTGTATAAGAGAATGTATTTTTCTGAGAGATGTTCTAAAACTGCACTCTCGTATAAAAAAAACTACATAGTAGTTCATCTTTCTAGTGAAAGTGCAGAATAAACAAGTTTAAGGGTGTGACCATTAGATGAATAGACTTTCTTTATTACTGTACCAGAAGTCGAACTCTACAGCGTGTACCTAATCATACCTTATTTCCAATAAATTGATCGTTCGCTATTAAAATGATTATCCAAACGATTCATGCGGTCTGGTCGTCAATTAAATTCAGATTGCTCGTTATACAAGGGAAGTTAAAGAAAATAATAGTTTCGTTTATGTTTATTATTGATTCTATGTATACTGTAGGATCACTCTTTTGATCTGATCTACAATGACAAATTTGTGAAGGCTTTCGCGGTCAGTAGGTGAACTGATGCTGTCTTTATTCAGATCTAATTTATTCATTTCAGTCCCAATCTAGCAACGGAGATGGAAGGACCTTTGAGAAGCTTGTCACCCGTGTTAGCGAAACGGTAGGACTCGAATCAGGACAGTATCACTTCTAATTTAAAAAGCCGGTGTTTTTGCAGGCGGTCATAAATCAACTTAATGTGTGCCGAACTGCTGTATACGAGGGTAATTCAATACCCTAGACAAAAATTTTCAGTCTCTCAGAGTCTTTCAGAGTCTTTCAGCGTCTCTCACAATCTTTCACAGTCCCACAGTTATTGCCTATGTGTTTCTATGGATCTCTCACAGTCTCTGTATGAGAGACTCGAACGATAAATTTGTTAATTCAGAGATTCGAGTCTCTCACAGAGAGACTAAATGAATAAAACTGAAAAATTGAGAGACTCGAGTCTCTCGTAGAAAGACCGGAATCTCTGAAATATGTTGAACTTTGAAAATTTTAATCATGTCAATCGAGATACCATTTATTGAGAGACTCGAGTCTCTCGTTCAGATATTCGAGTTTGTCGTTCAGAGACTGGATACGAAACGAGGATCTCTCTATGAGCGACTCGAGTCTCTCGTTCAGAGACGCTAAACAATTTTTTTGACAGTCTCTCTCAGCGACACCAGAGAGACTCGATGAGAGACGGAGACTCGAGTCTCGCACTCAGAGACTGTGAGAGACTGAACATTTTTATCTCGGGTAGCTTTACAAAATTCTATAGATACAGAATATATGCTATACTACGTTTACTTTCTGTGGCGATGTGACCTTCAGTTTGATCAGCGCAAAGTAGAAAAGAACAGCACTAGGCCAGAAAAGGAAGGAGACAACTCACGGCCCAACTCTTAACCGGTGGGGAGCGTATAATCCGTACAGTACTGCACGGAAAAATTGACCATTTTATCCACTACAATTGCATTGCTCAAACGTGCTTTTATTGGTACCATTTACTGCTGAAAATATATACGAGATGTTTATTTATATTTGAAGACATATTAAAGGCTTTAACGCTTGTTTTCGACTCGCACTACTATTCTAGATTGAACAAAACTTTTGGCAGGTACTGTATGAAAACGTATGTTTAATGAACAAGAGTCGAGAGTATAATGAGCTTTTTTCTCCCTACCTACGATTTTGCCAGCGCGCTTCCAAGACATTGGAAGGGGCACGTCGCTAGAGAAAGTAAATAAAGTATACCTATAATTTGGCATCACTGTTTAGCCTAGTACGTTTTTAATTTTATTGTATGTTATTATTATTATGTTTTGACATGTTCTCAGTGACGCCACTGAGTCAAGTAAAACGGTGTGCCTCATCAGTCTATTTATATATAAAACAATATTAGGTAATGGTTTAAAAAGAGAAGTTATCAAATTCTAGTGTTCCAGCGAATATAAAAAATTATTAAAATAGTTGTAACAAATGGAAACAAAATGCACGTAAGTAAACGCATCTGTACTAAAAAGCAGACACATAATTTTAACTTTACAAATATGTTCCTTACTAATATGCATTTTCACTAATTCGTGTAAACGAGGTTTATGCGCATGTCTAAAGATTAGATTATCTTTATGTATTATAATGCTTTTAAGTACTTATTACATCGGCACTGAATAAGGGCCAGTGGCGTCGGTTAGGTTAAATGATTAGATATTTTAATAATTGGTGCTTAACTGTATCTAAGATAATTGGGCCAATTGCGGTTTTTAGTTTCAGAAGATATTCCCTTTTTTTAACAATTTGTATTAATGTCCTTTCCTATGTAGATACTTTTTAGGAATTAAAATTTTTACCCTCAAAACAGCTAACCCTTAACATTTTTCTATAATTTTGTGTGTGTGATGTAGGTACACATTAATGTATGTATGTATATGCAATCAATTATACACGTCAAACAAAAATTGCTATTAGGGTATATGCAACCAACTATACATTGGAATGTAGATATTTAAACCCGTCCATTCTTTTCCAGTAGTTTTGGTTAAAGTTGGTGATATTTGATTCAACGAAAGCATTCTCGATGCCAAAAGTAGGCTCAAAACAATCCTCCCATCTATTATTTAAAGATTTTAGTTGCTAGTTAGTTCCAGAATGTTGTATAATGGGTTATTCTATTTTTTAAAGAAGTTAATTAAGTCAGATGAAACTTTATAAATGGCCCTCATTGTTAAGCATTTATGTCGATCGACTTCTTGCATTTGTCGTATCTTTATTTTTTTATAATAATTAATCGAAAAGTGATATTTTCGACTATTTTGTTCATGGCTAATTAAGAGCAGATTATTATCTATATATATAAAAGAAAGTCGTGTTAATTACACTATTTATAACTCAAGAACGGCTGAACTGATTTGGCTGAAAATTGGTGGGAAGGTAGCTTACGACCAGGAGACGGACATAGGATACTTTTTATCCCGTTGGGGGAGGAGTTGCAATGTTTAAATGGAACATATATTATTAGTTGTCAGATTTACTTGAAACTTGGCCTTAATGGTCTCACATTTAATTTTTGAAAGACCTATCTCGACATTTTAAAAATTTCAACCTCCAAAGGGTCGGGGGGAAGGTGTTGCAATTTTTGTTTAGGACATACTTTATTTGTGATTGAATTTACTTGAAACTTCGTATATATGCCGTTTGATATTATTATTGAAATGAAAAGTGGTTGCAACGTTTCCATGGAGTATACTTTTATTTGTACTCGGATTTACTCGAAGGTTGCTCGTTGTTGAAATTAATCAAATACGTGCTTTGGCAATTTTTAAAAATCAACCCTTAAGGATGAAATGTTGTTGCTACGTTTGTATTTGAAATCCACGATGACGACATTACATAAAATTAAAACGTTGTAAGGGTGAATTGGGAGTTAAAAGGTTATTTATTGATGAGTATTATAAGCCAATATTTGAAAAAATTCATATCCTATTTACACTCATAGAAGTCACTTATATCGGGTTGTTCGGAAAGTCATTTCGTTTTTTTTTGTTGTGGAAATGAAAAACAGTTTTCGTATAATAAACAAATACATTATTAAATTTTATATTGACCGTTCTGGTTCAACACCTTTTGCCATCTTTCTGGCAGNGCTCTGATTTGTATTATATCTTGTTGCTGATTTTTGGCGAATGAATTAATTTTGCAGAGCTTTTACAGCTCCCGGGAAATAGGATGATCCGCTGCTAGTTTGATATCATAATAGTAGATCACATATGTATATTTATTTCTACTGATTTAGAGCTCTGATTTGTATTATATCTTGTTGCTGATTTTTGGCGAATGAATTAATTTTGCAGAGCTTTTACAGCTCCCGGGAAATAGGATGATCCGCTGCTAGTTTGATATCATAATAGTAGATCACATATGTATATTTATTTCTACTGATTTAGAGCTCTGATTTGTATTATATCTTGTTGCTGATTTTTGGCGAATGAATTAATTTTGCAGAGCTTTTACAGCTCCCGGGAAATAGGATGATCCGCTGCTAGTTTGATATCATAATAGTAGATCACATATGTATATTTATTTCTACTGATTTAGAGCTCTGATTTGTATTATATCTTGTTGCTGATTTTTGGCGAATGAATTAATTTTGCAGAGCTTTTACAGCTCCCGGGAAATAGGATGATCCGCTGCTAGTTTGATATCATAATAGTAGATCACATATGTATATTTATTTCTACTGATTTAGAGCTCTGATTTGTATTATATCTTGTTGCTGATTTTTGGCGAATGAATTAATTTTGCAGAGCTTTTACAGCTCCCGGGAAATAGGATGATCCGCTGCTAGTTTGATATCATAATAGTAGATCACATATGTATATTTATTTCTACTGATTTAGAGCTCTGATTTGTATTATATCTTGTTGCTGATTTTTGGCGAATGAATTAATTTTGCAGAGCTTTTACAGCTCCCGGGAAATAGGATGATCCGCTGCTAGTTTGATATCATAATAGTAGATCACATATGTATATTTATTTCTACTGATTTAGAGCTCTGATTTGTATTATATCTTGTTGCTGATTTTTGGCGAATGAATTAATTTTGCAGAGCTTTTACAGCTCCCGGGAAATAGGATGATCCGCTGCTAGTTTGATATCATAATAGTAGATCACATATGTATATTTATTTCTACTGATTTAGAGCTCTGATTTGTATTATATCTTGTTGCTGATTTTTGGCGAATGAATTAATTTTGCAGAGCTTTTACAGCTCCCGGGAAATAGGATGATCCGCTGCTAGTTTGATATCATAATAGTAGATCACATATGTATATTTATTTCTACTGATTTAGAGCTCTGATTTGTATTATATCTTGTTGCTGATTTTTGGCGAATGAATTAATTTTGCAGAGCTTTTACAGCTCCCGGGAAATAGGATGATCCGCTGCTAGTTTGATATCATAATAGTAGATCACATATGTATATTTATTTCTACTGATTTAGAGCTCTGATTTGTATTATATCTTGTTGCTGATTTTTGGCGAATGAATTAATTTTGCAGAGCTTTTACAGCTCCCGGGAAATAGGATGATCCGCTGCTAGTTTGATATCATAATAGTAGATCACATATGTATATTTATTTCTACTGATTTAGAGCTCTGATTTGTATTATATCTTGTTGCTGATTTTTGGCGAATGAATTAATTTTGCAGAGCTTTTACAGCTCCCGGGAAATAGGATGATCCGCTGCTAGTTTGATATCATAATAGTAGATCACATATGTATATTTATTTCTACTGATTTAGAGCTCTGATTTGTATTATATCTTGTTGCTGATTTTTGGCGAATGAATTAATTTTGCAGAGCTTTTACAGCTCCCGGGAAATAGGATGATCCGCTGCTAGTTTGATATCATAATAGTAGATCACATATGTATATTTATTTCTACTGATTTAGAGCTCTGATTTGTATTATATCTTGTTGCTGATTTTTGGCGAATGAATTAATTTTGCAGAGCTTTTACAGCTCCCGGGAAATAGGATGATCCGCTGCTAGTTTGATATCATAATAGTAGATCACATATGTATATTTATTTCTACTGATTTAGAGCTCTGATTTGTATTATATCTTGTTGCTGATTTTTGGCGAATGAATTAATTTTGCAGAGCTTTTACAGCTCCCGGGAAATAGGATGATCCGCTGCTAGTTTGATATCATAATAGTAGATCACATATGTATATTTATTTCTACTGATTTAGAGCTCTGATTTGTATTATATCTTGTTGCTGATTTTTGGCGAATGAATTAATTTTGCAGAGCTTTTACAGCTCCCGGGAAATAGGATGATCCGCTGCTAGTTTGATATCATAATAGTAGATCACATATGTATATTTATTTCTACTGATTTAGAGCTCTGATTTGTATTATATCTTGTTGCTGATTTTTGGCGAATGAATTAATTTTGCAGAGCTTTTACAGCTCCCGGGAAATAGGATGATCCGCTGCTAGTTTGATATCATAATAGTAGATCACATATGTATATTTATTTCTACTGATTTAGAGCTCTGATTTGTATTATATCTTGTTGCTGATTTTTGGCGAATGAATTAATTTTGCAGAGCTTTTACAGCTCCCGGGAAATAGGATGATCCGCTGCTAGTTTGATATCATAATAGTAGATCACATATGTATATTTATTTCTACTGATTTAGAGCTCTGATTTGTATTATATCTTGTTGCTGATTTTTGGCGAATGAATTAATTTTGCAGAGCTTTTACAGCTCCCGGGAAATAGGATGATCCGCTGCTAGTTTGATATCATAATAGTAGATCACATATGTATATTTATTTCTACTGATTTAGAGCTCTGATTTGTATTATATCTTGTTGCTGATTTTTGGCGAATGAATTAATTTTGCAGAGCTTTTACAGCTCCCGGGAAATAGGATGATCCGCTGCTAGTTTGATATCATAATAGTAGATCACATATGTATATTTATTTCTACTGATTTAGAGCTCTGATTTGTATTATATCTTGTTGCTGATTTTTGGCGAATGAATTAATTTTGCAGAGCTTTTACAGCTCCCGGGAAATAGGATGATCCGCTGCTAGTTTGATATCATAATAGTAGATCACATATGTATATTTATTTCTACTGATTTGGAGCTCTGATTTGTATTATATCTTGTTGCTGATTTTTTTCGAATGAATTAATTTTGCAGAGCTTTTACAGCTCCCAGAAAATAGGATGATCGATGCTAGCTTGATATCATACTAGCAAATCACATATTTATATTCATTTCAACTGATCCCATTTTTAATGTTCATCATATTTTGCAACTGATTAATAGTGAAAGAATTAATTTTGTAGAGCTTTTACAGCTCCCGGGAAATAGGATGAGCCGTTGCTAGTTTGAAATCATAATAGTAGATCACATATGCATATTTATTTCTGCTGCTTTGGAGCTCTGATTTGTATCATATCTTGTTGCTGATTTTTGGCGAATGAATTAATTTTGCAGAGCTTTTACAGCTCCCAGGAAATAGGATGATTCGATGCTAGCTTGATATCATACTAGCAGATCACATACTATTCGTTTCTGACGATTTTGGGCTCTAATTTGCGTCATATTTTGCAACCAACATAAAATGAAAGAATTAAATTTGTTGTAGAGCTTTTACAGCTTCCGGGAAATAGGATGATCCGCTGCTAGCTTGATATTATACTAGAAGATCACATACTTATTTTCATTTCAACCGATTCNAGCTCTGATTTGTATCATATCTTGTTGCTGATTTTTGGCGAATGAATTAATTTTGCAGAGCTTTTACAGCTCCCAGGAAATAGGATGATTCGATGCTAGCTTGATATCATACTAGCAGATCACATATGTATATTTATTTCTACTGATTTGGAGCGCCAATTTTCATTATATTTCGTTGCCAATTTATGGTGAATGAATTAATTTTGTAGAGCTTTTACAGCTTCCGGGAAATAGGATGATCCGCTGCTAGCTTGATATTATACTAGAAGATCACATACTTATTTTCATTTCAACCGATTCAATTTTTAATTTGCTTCGTATTTTGCAACTGAATTGTAGCGAAAGAATTAATTTTGTAGAGCTTTTACAACTCCCAGGAAATAGGATGATCCGATGCTAGCTTGATATTATACTAGCAAGTCAAAATGAATATTGATATCAACTGATTTGGATCTCTAATTTGCATTATGTTTTGTTGCTAATTTGTGGTGAATGAATTAATTTTGTAGAGCTTTTACAGCTATCAAGAAATCGGATGATTCGCTGCTAGCTTGATATCATCCTAGCAGATCACATAGGTATATGAATTAATTTTGTAGAACTTTTATAGCTCCCGGGAAATAGGATGATTCTCAATTCTAAACGTACGATTGGTGGTTCCACGATTAACATATCTAGGATTTGCGGATCACTTATGAATATTGATATCAACTGATTTCGAGTTCTAGTTTGTATTATATTTTGTTGCTAATTTGTGTTGAATAAATTAATTTTGTAGAGCTTTTAAAGCTCCTGGAAGATAAGATGATCTGCTAGTAGCTTGATATAACCATACTAGCATATCACATATGTATATTCATTTTAACTGACTTCCAGCTATAATTTCCCTTCTATTTTGTTGTTAATTTGTGGCGAAATTGTAGTGAATAATTAATTTTGTAGAGCTTTAATAGCTTGCGAAAAATTGGATAATTTGCTACTAAGTTGACAAAAAATAAATTTACTTAAACTCTCTTACACTAAAAATTTCACACTACAACTCCAACTTTTTAAACTTATTTCGTTAAGGATTTAACATACGAAATTTCTACCATACGTATAACATTTAACAAAGTTATGTTAGAAACATCAAAGATGTAGGTTTCTAAAGGCTACCTAATTCTAATTTGTTTAGTGGATACTAAAGGCCCCAAATGTGATTACTATTTTTGGGGCTGTCGGAAACGATGAGAATAAGCGTCTTCTCGAAAATGCACTAAGCGCAGAACAAATAAATTTTATCTTTAAATGTAATAATGGTTACCAAACTGCAAGATGTGCCGTTTTAATAACAGATCATAACAGAAGTCTCTGTACAGATTTGGGTGCTTCTAAACTACTTGATATAAACGATTTATATGAGGAGAAAGTATGGATAGCAGTGAATAGTGCCAATGTTTTCTATATGTCAGTAAGTAATAGTTTATCAATAAATAATATCTATCAATTGAAAAAGAGTAGGGTTTACTGATAATAAACAAGGCTTATTATGTATAATTAAATTTGGCATTTTTAGGGGTTCTTTTTTCAAGTTTCACCAAGAATTATAAACGCTTTAGCGCAACATGCCTTCAAATCCGATAAAACATTTATAGTAAATGTTGGGGCGGCTTTCCTTACTGAAAAATATACCGAAGAATTTAAGGAACTACTAAAATTAACAGATATTGTCATCTGCAATGAAGAGGTGATTCTTTTATTATTCAATGCCTGAAAACAAAAGTGGGCGTAGTCTTCCTTCGTCGAATATGATCCCACCAAAACTTTAAAAACTAAATACTTCTTTTAGACAAGAAAATCTAATCTTATAGAATTTTATTCTTCAAAATTTGGGTTTTATAATGTTTGACTGTTTTTTAAAAACCATNAAAACTACTGCGTAGAATTAATTGGAATTTTTCACACACAAGCCTTGCTATATGAGCTCTCAAAGCATATAAAAATTATACGGCTTAAATGTGAAGTTGGGTGCAAAAGAATACAATTAAATCCTCTGTCGGGAAAAAACGAAATGACTTTCCGAACAACCCTGTACAATAATGTAGAGAAATAATAAGATGGAGTACCTAGATTTGACGAAAATTCTACATCTCCAATTTTGGGAACAGTCGGATCTCCCATTTTGTGACGATAATAATTGAACATAAGTCAATACAGATAACAATCATAATTCGGATGAATTAACGAAACGTAATAATTGTCTGTATGCCTTCACTTTCGTTTGTTTCCGTTTAGAATTGATGTCGAAACATGTGTATCTACAAGTAACGAAGTAACAAAAGAAAGTGGTTATCAATCATGCAACTTTTACGCATTGCAACTAGGCACATAACCCTGTACTGTGTAGACACCTATAAATATTATTCGTTCCTGATTATTATTTTAACCGGAAATGCGCCGATTTAAACAGCTCGGCATTTATCTGTAACGCCAACGAGAGAAAATTAACAAACGCTTTCAATTTCCTTCAATATTCAACGTTGACTTTGTATTTTGTTTGTAGAATTCAATTTCAATGTTTACTTAAGCGTGAAGCTTTATTACGAAAATGATCATGAACTTGATGTCATAATACGTAATAAAATTAGTTAAGTACAAATTTTTGCACTGCGTTACTTAATAAAAACGAATTAATGCACTGTTACAGTTAAAACAGTTACAAGATAATTAGATTAAATTAAATCAAGACAGAATGCTTTGTCACTACGGGACAGGAATCGTAAAAACTATAGGCATGAAATGGCCTGAAGATGTATTTTATGCAGGCCAGACTTATTAACTAGAATTTTTAAAAACAATCAGAGTTCAAAAACTTTTTTGTAAACAACTATAAATAAACACGTATACTGTAAAGAAACCAAAAATATTCAGTTTTGCTTTTTATTTAGCAGGGCTCTCGGAAAGCGGAAGGCCATTCTGGCTTTAGGGGTAACAGTAGAACGATAGAAAAAGCAAAGAGTGCGTACATAGGATTTGTATATTTAGAAAAAGCTTTTGACAATGTTAAATGGGACAACATGTTAAATATACTTAAAAATGTAGGGATGAATTACAAAGATAGAAGAGTGATACTTAGTTTGGATAAAGAGCAACAGGCAGTTATGGAGCTAGGGCTGCAATGTAGAAAAGTAAATATTAAGAAGGGAGTCAGTCAAGGATGCACACTGTCACTGCTAGTTCTTAATCTATACATCGAAGACGCGATCAACATCATTAAAGACAGTACAACTGTAGGGATAGATATACAGGGACAAAAATTAGTATGCTTAGATTTGTAGATTATATAGCAGTATTAGCATTAGAGATAGCTTTAACTAAAAAATACTGGTATGTAAGGGAAGAAAAAGTAGGGAAAGAGCGAATGTAAAAATAGGAGACGAAAAATTAGAAGAAGTGGCTGATTTTAAGTATCTAGGAAGTCAGTTAAGTCAGGACAGAAGGAGTAGTAGGGATATAAAGCAGAGGATAGGACAGGGTCGAGTCGCCCTTAATACCGGCGAATGATGAGGATACCGTGGATAGAAAAGGTTAAAAATGAAGTTGTATTAGAAAGAATAGGAGAATGGAGGATTCTAAGGAAGTCAATAAAAAATATGCAAGATATAGGCGAAAAATAGGTTGAAGGCATGAAGGTCTAAGCAAAAACATATTAGAGGCAGAAACACGAATTAAGAGGAGTAGGGGTAGACCAAGGTTAGATTACTCTTCACAAATAGTGAAGGATGTTCTAGTTTTAGGGAAATGCGAAGATTAGCTTATGATAGGAAGGAGTGGAAGTGCGTGTCCAACCAGTCTTAGGACTAACTATCTTATGATGATGAGGGTTCTCGTAATTTGTTTCTGATTTTGAGCTTTCAGCGAATTTTGTTGGAACTGTAAAAGTCAGTCAATAAAATTTATGAGGAGGAATTATAATTTAATTTCTGTATGAAAATTTGTTTGTTTTTCCGACAAATTAAAAGCCTCTCCAATTAGTCATTTGATTGAAATGAAAAAAAAAAAATGAATCTAATGCGAATTTGTTCTTTGAAATGGGTCTTCTGAAGTTACTGTAGATTGAATGCATAGGGTCACTCTGGGATGTTTTCCGATTTTATGACTAGTTTTTTCATTTTTTTCCGCTAAATTTTCGGCTTTTATTAGAAAAAATTATTTCTTATTCTTACCAGGGATGTTAGAATATATTAGAATCAACTTCTCAATCATCAAAATCGGTCAAGTATTACCTATAATATAACGAAATCATTGTTAGTGAACTTTGACGCCACTTGGCGGAGAAACTAGAGATGAAGTCGAAAATCGTCCTAGGGGCATCCCCTCTATTAATTTTTGCAATAATCTCGTATGGCCAAAAAAGGACTTTTATTTTGCTTTATCACGCCGTAACTTCATTTGGTGACAATTTAAGAATACATGCAACCGAGATATTTATACATATAAAAGGGTGAAAAATAGCAAATTTTCCGATATCAGGATTCAAATAATTCTTAAGCGGCCTTTAAAATTTTTTGATTGGTTAATCTAATAATTCAAGCTCAAATTTAAAATTCTGCAAAATAGTGTCGCATAATTTTGAAGGTTCTACATAACTGGGAGGACATTAAAAAATATAAAATAGACAAAATTAAAAAAATATTGCTTATAACTTTTCAGAGCAATACCAAAGATAATTACTTAATGTAAAAATCACGAAAAGTAATGACAAAGGATATTTTACAGTTACGCTTATTAAGAGAGGATTACCGAGCTTAGTTAATTAATTAGGAAGTTAAACTTACAATTGTTAGTTTATGAGAACATTTTCCTGATTGAATACATAAACATTCTTGTTTCGCACGAAGAATGTGTTTCATATCTCACGAACGATGAATGTAAAAAGCTACACCTTTGTACTTTATTTCCGTAGATGACTTTTACCTATTTTCTACTTGGTGAACATTTTTTACAGTAATAATAAGAGCTAAATTTCGTGTACCGTCGCTATTCGACAAATTTTCCTTCAAATCACATATAATATACATTTCACGTATTAGGATCCGTCAAATGGGAGGAGCCTAAAAACATGGCGCCGATTAGGGAAAATTTATCGTTGTTCCTATAGTGTACCGTGCAATTTCCAAGTTTTTAAATTACGATAAAATGATAAGTATTGACACAATATGTGATTGGGCTGACACAAAGCCTCGGAAAGGAAATTTCATTTAAGGTGAGCGTGTTTTTAATGCTAATCACATTATAAAATTCGGAAATAACAAATCCGGAAGCTAGCCTTCAATTTCCGTCAAGTTTACTGCCTACTTTTTACAAACTTCGGATTTAAAAAGTGATTCACGTTATATAATTGGTGAGGTGATTCTGGGTGATTTAA